TAGGGAGCCAGCTCCCATCAATTCTGCCTCTTCTTATTTCTGACCTCAGCACCAAGTCCTAGCCAAGCACTTAGTCTGTTGGTGGTGATGACATATCAATATTGGCAGCCTGAATATCGTGGCTGACAAGCCAGGCCGCTGCCCTTGGCAGCCTGGGGGCAGAAACTCATCAGGATGCCTGTGTGGATGGCATTTGGGAGTTAGGGGTGAAGCCACACTGCAGCAGGAAAGGGGGAGGGGCTCTCCACTGCCAACCCCGTGGGGATCGCACACGTCTACTTCTGCAAGCATCATTAGCCTTGGACCACATGACTGGCAGGGTTTGCGTGGCTTTCTTACTAGAGCAGCTACTGTTTTTTGTGACAAGCAAAAGGAGCCATTATTGACCTCCTCTAAAGCAAAGGGAGTTTATCAGAAAAATGATGCTTTTGTGGTAAACAGTTTAGAACCTAGGGGAGCGTTGAGAACCAGGTTTGAGGTAGTAAGGGGAGCAAGCCTGTGGAAAGCACTGATTGTGTGCTGGTCCCATTGTGAGCACTTTACAGAAACTCACTAAACCCCACAGCAGCCCCACGGGTACCCCCTGCCATGACACCCTTTTCATGGCTGAGGGATACAGAAGCAAGCAAAGCAAGTGACACTATCACCACCACTAACATCACAGAGTCAGTGAGCCAGGATTTGAACACAGGCTCCTGGCTCCACAGGCTGGAGGCAAAGCAGCAGTCTGCAGGGCCCATGACAGTCTTGCCAGGGAACCAGAGGAAAAGGTGCCTCATTTTCCCAGGACTCAGTCCCAGTGGCCTAGATGAGACCCTCACCAAAGGGATCCACTTGGCCTATGGTCCATAGCTTAATGTGGCAGGGCTCACTCAATGATGTTCCCCAACATTGCTCCCCAAGCATCAGCTGTGAGCTGATCTCTGCTGGGTGAATATGTAGACTCAGCTGCCTCCAAGACCGGGGACCTCAGAGTGGGCTGGAACCAGAGCTATGAGGGAAAGTAGCCTTTGGGCTTGGCGGACCTAGGAGACAGTGCAGAGTCTTGGTCCCGCCTTCACTAGGGCTTCTCCTGTCCCTCTCACCCTGCCTCCAGCCCTGTGAGTGTCTCCAAAGACCCTGGGCCTCCCACTCTCTTTCAGGTTCAGGCCTACTGCTCTTTTCTTTCACAACAAGGGCCATCAAGGCTCACCACTGTGATTTCTGCTGGCTGCTGTGTTTATTTTGGTCACATGCACTTAGAGCCTAGGGCTGGTAGTTCTGAGAAAATGAGAAAACAAAGCTGCTCTCTGTAGGCGGGGCGTGGACAGGGCTACTGCAGGCAAGGTGGCTCAGCAGGGTGGGGAGAAACCTGCCGGTCTGCAGGCAGAGCAGGGAGTGGGGACATCAGAAAGTCTGTATAGTGGGACACTTGGGCCAGATCAGTGGTGGCAGCTATCCTACAGACAGCTGGACTCAGAAGCCATGCAAAGAAGGTCCATGTGCAAGGTAGGTTTGCGTGCCCTAGAAATAGTGAGAGGTGACCTGATGGCCTTCCAGTGTGGAGGGACTGAGATGTGAGTAGCTCAAGGGAAGGAGAAACAGTCTAGAGCAAAATCAGTTCACCACACAAATGGGCACAGTCTGTGTGGCAGGCATTGTGCTGCCCGCTGTGTGCAGATGGAGCTACTCAGGACAGAGCCCTTGGGGCAGTCAGGCCATAGGGGAGGGCTGGTGCCCATGCACCCTGCAGGCCAGGCTCTACTCTGGGAGTTCAAAGGGCACATTCTGTGTGGGGTGAGGATAGCCAGTCTTCAGGAAGAGGTCCAGGAGGGGAGGTCTTCCCAGGTGGATGGATGCTGACAGGCAGCTATAGGTGAAGCCAAAGACAGAGCCTTCAAGGACAGAAGACTGCCCCAGCCAAGGTGGACAGGAGGAGCTGAGAGTGGAGACCACATGGGCAGCGGCAGGGAGAAGCCTGGGTGCTGAGCTCAGAGGCTGGGCTTGGCTGGGCAGTGGAGGACTTTACTATGAGGAGAAGTGAGGTGAGGAGAGCTGATGGAAAGATGGGGAGTCAGGAGGTTTCTAGGATGTGTGAGACTCAGGTCCACAGAGGACCTACCCGCAGAGACCTTTGTCAAGTGACTAGGCATTCTGGCCAGCACTCATGGGTAGTGGGAGCCCAGGACCCTCCTTTGTTTCAGTTGCAGGGCAGATGGTTGGGAAGGGGGCTTAACTCATCCAGCAGGAGTCTTTTGGTGATAAAAGGTGGGGTTTCTTAGATGACCTGTGTTGTGTCTCCCAAATGTCAGTGTTCACTGCGGTCACACAACTAAGACACTGCATTAACATGGATCCTATTCTCTGTGCCTTTCATGACCATGGACCATAGTTTGCTCATAGCTAGCTCTTTAACACTCAACTAAGAACTGTCCTTAAGTTGGCTTTATGATGTTAGCTACGTTTAGGTGGAAAGATGAGTGTCTACACTTAAGAGTGCCAGCTTCCCACAGGCCAGAAACAGAACACTTCTGGGCATTAGGACATCCAATGACATATAATAATAATTTATGTGCTCTTTTATAGTTTATGCATTTCATTAGTAGACCAGTTTCTCGGATGTAAGTGAGAAGTCAGACTTAAGGTCCTTTGTCTCTAAAACCCTCTATTGCCATGAGGTGTCCTAATGTGAGCAATCAGGGACCAAACTTAAAAGGAGGTGATTTAAGGCAGTGGCAAGCCTATGAGAATCATCTATGAAGTTTAGAACCTGAAAATAGAGGTGGCTTCCCAGTGGGTGCTTTAGGGAAATTCACCGATGATAGATCTGGATTGGACAATTCAAGAGGAATTAGGGAATGCTTGGTTAGATAACTAGGCATAATAGCAGCAGCTTGTGAGGAATTACTATTGTCATCCCCAAATCTGAGCACAAGGCAGTCACCCCAGGATGAAGTGTCTTCCCAGGACACACAAAGCCTTGATTTGAGCACCCTGGCTTGGTTCTCACCCAGAACACACTTTTTTGGCCCCATCCAGAAGGAACCTAGCAGGATTCCTAGCCTGCTGGCAAGCTACTGGTGAAGATGGTGAGCCAGCAGTCAGGGGTTGGTTGTGCCAAGTGAGAAGACTACCTGAACCCAGACTCTGGTGGGGGAGACCAAGTTGCTACTAACTGTGGGTTGGTGATTCAGGTTAAAATCCATTCAACCTTAAAGCAAATTTCACCCTCTGCCTAGGAAGGACCTTCCTCTCCAGGGTTGAGAAAGAGGTAAACGTGTGCCTGTGGGACATCCTTGCACACAGTTAGCTTCACACTGCCCACCAAGAGCCCTCTGTGGCCAGCAGATCACAACACAAGGTCTTCATCTGATGAGCACACGATAGTCCTTGGGGTGCTCTGCATAAGGCTGCTGGCTCCAGATAGTACACAAAGCAGCAGAGGGAAAGCCAGGCAGAGAGGTTGCTGGGTGGATGCTGTATCCACTGAGCTGAAATGGCCCTCAACCAGGCACTGCCCAAGGTTGAGGTCTCCTTGCCAAGTGGGAAGAGGTCAGCAGGCCCCAAGGAGAGCTGCGGCAGAACAATGCTGGCCTGGTGACAGGTAGCAGAGCCTGGCCTTCCCTCTCCCTGACTCTCAGGCAGAGCCCGTAGGCCTGGCCCTCCAGGTGGTGGTGAGAATCTGCTGATCTGCCCCACCTAGCATGTGCCTGAAATGTTCCAGTCATTTTGCATATTATTTGCCAGGGAGTGGTTCCTGAGTCCTGCTTCATGCAGGCTTCTGACTAGAAATGTTAAGACAAAAGAGAGTGCCCCCATCAAGCCTTAGAGGTTAGGGGAGGTGGACCCTAATCCTCCCAGTTACCATGGTAGAAAGTGGGGCCTTTGGGAGGTGGTGGGGTCCAGAAGATGACAGTCAGTGGAGCCCTGTGATGGAATTGGGGCCTGCTAAGAAAATGTAGAAAACCAGGGCTCCACTACACACACACACCACAAATGGCTGTGTGAGGACTGGCCTAGGAGCGGGGCCCTCACCAAGAACCCAACCACATAGGTTTCCTGATCTGGGGCTTCTGCCTCAGGACTGTGAGGAGCAAATGGGGCTGTTGCAGCCCTGGCTGGATTGTTCTGCTGCCTCAGTGGACCCTTGGCTGCTTTGGAGAAGAGTAACTGTTCTGTTCTGGACGCTGAGAGGCTTTATTTTGAAAACCTCTGTTACTGCTGTCACTGAGGATGCTGCCACCTGAGCTTTCTACATACCAGTGCCCTGGGCCCTAGACCCACCCTGGATGGACAGAAGACCTGCATTCCTGATGGGAGCCATGGGCCACTGGTGGCAGTTGAAACTTAAACTAAACAATATTAAAACCAGCTACTCAGTGTGTGTTTGCATGTGCATATGTGTGTGTGAGTGTCACTGTGTAGAAGCAGGATGTTAAGGCCAAAGACCCGAGCTCAGCCTACAGCTCCACCCTTGCTGCAGCATCTGATCCCATATGTCTTAAGTTCCCCCTGAGCTCCTCTGGCCATACCCCTCCCTCTCTGTGGGGTGAGGAGTTGGCAGGCTAAAGCCCAACACATAGAGCATACACACCCTTCCAGAGGATCCCACAGGACTCCAGTCCATGCAACTCAGTCCCCTTTCCAGACCTACAGGCTTCTTCCTGTCCATTCTACTGATGTGCACAGAGGACTGTGTGGAGCTGGGTGGACTGAGCTTGGCTCAGGATCTAAGATATTCTTAAGCACCAGTTGATGAAGCATAAACCTGTGGCAAGAAGAGCAGGGCCAGCCAGGTCAATGGCTCTGTGAGCATCAGAGGTGGACCTTGTAATACTTACCTTTTTGGAGCTTTGGGGTCAGCCAGAAGAGCCAATTCATATCCACCAAGCACCTTCATAAGTGAAGACAGCTCCCCTATGGGGCTAGTTCACCCCCTCATGAACACAGGCTTTCATGAGAGAATGCAAATGTGTGCCTTTCATGCCAATTCCTTCACCAACATGAGATATCTTTTTCAGGCCCAACTCTCTCAGGCCTTAAATGGAGTTTCAGACAAGGCCAAAGAAGCAAAGGAGTTCCTGGTTCAGCTCAAGAACATCCTGCAGCAGATCCAGGTGAGTGTGTGACGGCACTGGGTGTGCTCTGTGTGCTTAATATGCAGAACCCACAAATACACAGAAGGAAGGGGACAGGTGTTTCCAGCAGAGGACTTTAGAAGGTTAGTGTGGCCTGTTGGATGTGCTTGGTTGCTGAAGGTGCTACTCTCCATCCATGGACATGGAAGGTGACACCTGCTGTGGAAGGGAATTCACATGAAGCCAATTAGAAAAGTCCTGCAAAAGATGTCTGGACAGATGTGATCCATCACCACGTGGCTGTGTAGTCCTCTGTAGTGATATCTAAATGGGGTGCTTGTTAAAGCCAAACATGCCCGTGTAACCAATGCATCCAAACATAAGTGCCTCATTTCCTAAACAAGTGTGTTTGTGGAGTGCCTATGCTCTGTCCTGAACTGAGTCTACCAAAGACACAAAGACCAGCAGTCTTGCTTCAGGGAGCTTGTGGGGGTGGGGGGAGTGCTCATGTGTGTGGACACACAGAGGCTGCCCATAGAGATCAGGAGCCTGTTAACCCTCCATGTATCCAGCTGGAAAAAAAGAGTCTTAGGGCCCCCAAATTCTTAATTAGCCCATAAAAATTGTGTTAACCAGCTTTTCATTCTTCTGACAAGGTACCAATTATAAGGATGAGGAGGTTTATTTTGGCAGTTCCAGTCCGTAGTCACTTGGCGACGAGCATTTTAAGTCCCAAGGTTTCCTCTGTTTCACAAACATGAGATACATTAGTTTGCTTAGGCTGCATCACACACTAGCAGAGATGGGGAAACTTATAGAGCAAAAATTTATTCTTTCAGTTGTGGGAGTTGGAAGTTCAAGGTCAAGGTGTCGACAGGACTGTTTCCCCTGAGGCCCCCTCCTTGGCTTGCAGATGGGATCTCTATCCCTGCCCTCATGTACATCCCTCATCCCTTTCCTAAGGGCACCTCAGTCAGACTGGGTCCAGGCCCGCTGTCGTGGCCTCATTTTCATTTCATGACCTACTTCACAAATTGCAGTACAGTCACATTCTGAGGTCCTGGGGTTGAGACTTCCACACTGATCAGCCCATAGCCTGAGGTCTGAATCCATGATGATTTTGGACCTGGAGGAAAGACCTACATCAAGAACATAATTGTTTTCTTTGTTTGCTCATTCCTGATTATAAAAAGCAAAAGAATAGATCATAGATGCTTGGACGATGAATGTGGTGGCACACACCTATAATCCCAGCACGTGGGAGGCTGAGACAGAGGATTACTATGAGTTTGAGGCCAATCTGGGCTCCATGTTGAGTCCTGAATTACAGAGTGAGACCCTGTCTCAAAAAAGAAAAGTTTTGGAAAGTAGAGCAAAAACAGACAGAACTAAGAAAAAGTTTGCTGCACATGTCACCATGTTGATGTGAGTTCTTCCATTACTTTGTGCATGAAATTATGATGCATCCTGTCTGATTTCCTCCTCCTCCTCCTCTTCTTCCTCTTTGTCTTTCTTCTCCTTCTTATTCTTTTTGGTTCTTTGAGGCAGGGTCTTGCCATGTATTCCAGGCTGGCCTTGAAATCACTATGCAGCCCAGGCTGGCCTCAAACACACAGTAATCCTCCTACCTCAGTCTTCCAAGTGCTAGGATTACAGCATGCACCACCATGCACACCCAGTTCCTTCTTCTTTTTTCAGTACTAAGCATGGATCCCAGGGCTTCACGCATGCTCAGGGCTCTTTTTCCTTCTTGGCACTCTGTCGTGAGCACATCTCATGGTGCTAACAATGCTCCATGAGCAGGTGTGCATGACAACAGGTTAGGACCCTCCCAATTCATATTTCTAAACGCCCACACACCAGTATCTGTGTCTTTGAGCCAAACACTCCCCAAACACTCTTCCATAGTGATATTCAGTGTATTAACTATTGTTACTCTCGTATTATTTGTTACAAAATTTTGTTTTATTTTTTCAGTAAGAAAAGCAAACCACTCTTCTATCTACAGGACTTAGGAACTCTTTTCTTAACACTCTCTGCTTCCCCAAGGAAAATGGCCTGGACTATGAGGCCTGCTTGGTGGCTCAATGTGATGCCCTGGTGGACGCGCTGACCCGGCAGAAGGCCAAGCTGCTCACCAAGGTGACGAAGGAGAGGGAGCACAAGCTGAAGGTAGGCAACTGCGTGCTCTCTGCTGAGGGCTGGGCGAGTGCAGTGAGGCTGGCTGAGCTGGCTGGTCCCATTGCACCAGAGGCCAGTCACTACCCTGGCTCTGTCCCCAAGTGTCCTGCTGTAGTCAACTCATCAGCCACACTCCCACCTTCCCTGGCTCCTGTGTCTGTCAAAGGAACCCTCTTAATCTCATCTTGCACAGCAGGAGTGACCTGTGGCAGTGACCAGACTTAGTTCTGCTCAGGCCTCCAGCTCTGTCCAGTCTCACGTACTAACACATGGGGCCCGTTTCCACCAGAGGGCAGCAAAACTTGCCCTTTCCCTTACACAGTTTCTGGCTCCAACAAGATGCTCCCAATTCTGAAATGGGGAATGGTTCTTACTGTCTAGGTCACTGTCCCACTGTTAGAGAGACTTTTCCCAATCATGTGTGCACAATGAAGCTGCTGAGCCAGAGGACCCATCTGTGAGCTCCAGAAGGGCAAAGGAAGGGGAGGAGCTAGCCCCTCACATGGGAGTTCAGATGAAACCCTTTCTCTGCAACCCTGTCCAGAATGTAGAAATTTACAGTGCTGGAGAATGAGTCTTTTTACTCTCCACTAAAGAGGACACTAGAGGTTCACGAGTGAAACGGGGAGAGGCAGGTGGGAAGTGACCCAGACCAGCACTGCCTCCCCTCATCATTGCACCAGCTCTGACTCTCCGAGGCTGGCTGCTCTTGCCCTGAGCCACGATCACCCAGAGTCTCCCCATTGTAGATGGTCTGGGACCAGATCAACCACTGCACACTGAAGCTGCGCCAGTCCACAGGGCTAATGGAGTACTGTCTGGAGGTGATCAAGGAGAACGACCCCTCGGGCTTCCTACAGGTGAGGCACCACTGGAGGACTACAGGTGGGCTTCTTCCAGCTCCTCCAACACCACACCCCAAAACCAGCCCAAATTTGAGGCAAGATCTTTTCCTGGCTTGGAGCCAGGAATTTGCTCAGTAATTCCAGAAGCTCGCTGGCTGCAATCCTATTTTTGCATCATCCATTAAGCAAAAAGGTGAAATGGTATCATCTTAGGGACCAAATGCCATGCTTCAGCATTTTCCTCACAAATGGGAAATGATAGTCTTTGCCAAGGTGGCTGGCCAGACTTCACAAGAAGTGAGTTTGCAGAATTCATACAGCCCATACTTCAGGGTGCAGAATCCTGCAAGCCTGGCTGGTGACCAGTCACCCACAGAGACTGTGCAGTCTTCCAGCGACCATTGAGACAGCCTCAAGCTGGCTCAGGGACAGGAGGAGCTCAGAAACAGGGCAGTGATTCAGTCTGTGGGGAAAATGATGAGCACCTTGATTATCCCCCAGGAAGGGTGCATGAGCTGTATGGTAAGCAGAGCCATGGGTGGGACATAGTTAGAGTTTACAGCAGAAGTTACAGAATAACTTGTAAGAGACATGAGGGGGAAGTGAGAGACACTTTCTTCACACCCTGGAACAAGTGACTAGTATGTTTCACTTTGCAAACTACTAGATTTTCAAGGATGCTTTTGCATATTTTTTAAGAACATCACTTACTTCACAAAAGGATGTGGCCGACTTTTTTTTTTTAAATAGCCAGTGCTTCTTTAAAGTTTTACATGATCAGTCTTCTGAGCTATAATTGAAACAGTGCACTGCATCTTTATACAGCTAGTTCTGGCCAGTTCTCTTCAGGCTGGGTCTCTTCATCTCTGCCATGGTTAGAAGGCACAGGTCCTCTGCTTCCCAAACCGCAAGCACAGAGCTCCAGCCCTTCCTCAACAACTGTGTACAATTTTTTTCCTGCAATTCAGACCCTCAACCTTGTGCTTCCCCTCCCCAAGATCTCCGATGCGCTGATCAAGCGTGTGCAGGTGTCTCAGGAGCAGTGGGTCAAAGGTGCCCTGGAGCCGAAAGTGTCTGCAGAGTTTGACCTGACCTTGGACAGTGAGCCGCTGTTGCAGGCCATCCACCAGCTGGACTTTCTTCAGATGAAATGTAGGGGTGAGCCGCGGTTGGCCCCAGTTCAGTGGGTGCTTCTTCCCAGAGAGCACCCAGTCTGAGGGGCAGTTGGTGCTGGTGGGAGCCTGTGATGCCCAGGCTAGCAGAGTGAGGGGTGGGATGCCAAGCGACAGACCTGGCTGTGGAGGTTGGGTTCTGGCCTCAGCCAGAGATGAGCTTCCTCCTTGTAAAGTAAGCTCTGTTTGTCATTCAGAAACACTAGCTGGGGCTGGTGACATGAATCTGTAATCTCTAGGAAGCTGAGACAGAAAATTTCCAAGTTTGAGCCCAGCCTGAGTAACATGGCAATTCAGAGAGACCTTGTCTGAAAATAAAACAGGGCTGGGGATGTAGCTCAGTGCAAAGAGTTCAACCCTAGTGCCATAAAACAAAAACAAAACAAAACAAAAAAACAGTGTCCATCCAGGCCATGCTGACCATGCCAGTTCACCTAGGTGCAAGAAAAATCAAGTCTGCAACCAACCCCTCATTGACTGAGCTTCTGGTCCAGATAAGGCTATACATCACATGCAAACAAATCAGAACATAGTGTCAGATACTGGTAAGCACTATAAATAGAGGGCAGAGAGAGAAGCAGCAGTAGATATTGGGGGGTATATTTTGAGGCGAGGAGGGGGAAGGAAGGAGGAAAGGAACTAGAGAGAAGCAACCTAAGAGTAGAGCACCCAGGGAGGCAGAGGGATAGCAAGTGCCAGGGCTCTGAGGCAGGAACAAAGTTTCTATATCCCAAAAAAGAGCAAGGAAGTCAGACGTGAGAGCAGAATGAGCAGGGAGCCGGCTTCAGAGGTCTGAGGGGACACACAATGAAAAGCTAAGCAAAGGTTCCCCAACCTGGACTGTTAACGAAATTAGCAAGCGATGGCCAGGCAAGAGTCCTGTCCTCCACGCTGCCTCTCAGAGCTGCCGCGGGCATTTAGTGAGGAAAGCACAGCTCTTCCATCTTCTGCAGACTGGAGGCCGTACCTGCAGATCTGGGAAGCAGGAGTCCTGACTGCAGGATGTGTGATGTGGCCATTTTTAACCTCACAGAAAAGCAAGTCTCTTGCACATTTTTGTCTCATTCCCATGTTTTGTACCCTGTGAGGTTCAGAAGTGCCACTTGCCCCAGGTGCAAATGAGACAGTGTGAGGAGTCTGGGTGGCCTGGTGGGGTGCAGGAGCTGCATGGAGGGACGGTTATCCCAGAAAGTGGAGGTGCCATGGGAGGAGCTTAGGAAACTGGGTACTGCTCCTACTTTGTGGGTTGCGGGGTTGAGATGAGAGCAGGAGGGGATGGAAGGGGACCAGTGGGCAAGAGTCTAACTGTGCTGAGGACATGCAAGTCAGATGTCATCCAGCTGGGCTGCCAGCGACCTCATTTTTTTTTTCTTTTTGTACTGTGAATCAGACTCACAACCTTGAGCTTGCCAAGCAGGCGCTTACGCCACTGAGCTAAATCCCTGGTCCAATGACCTCACTCTTGGAGCTAAATGGAAATAGGCATTTTTTCCAGAACCAATCTTATCATTTTCCCTTTTTAAAAAGGTCAGAGTGAACTATGTCAGTTTCAGAACTCTCTTGAGCTTGATAAATAGAGTTAGAGCATGCAGATTCTCCCACTGTCAGCCTAGGAGAGCTCAAGGTACACCTGACTCAAGCCCTATTGCTTGGATTGGCTATAGGATCCTCCAAGATGTTTCCTCTGTCTAGATCTACTCCCCTGACTTCTTAAATCTTCCTCCCAAAGGAAGATGAATCAGTGTACTTTGTGTCAGTCAGTTCTACATCACTGTAACAAATCTGTGAGATAGTCTTTGAAGAAAAAGGTTTATGTTGGCTCACAGTTATGGAGGTTCCAGCCCATGGTTGGTTGACCTGTTAATTGGTGGTGAGGCAGTATATCACAGCCACAGTATGATATAGCAAACCCACTCCTCTCATAGCCAGGAAGCAAAACAGAGAAGGGAAGGGGCTGAGGTCCCACACCCCACTTTGAGGGCATGGTGGTAGTGACCTGATGACCTCCCACTAGTGCCTATCCTTTAAAGTTGCCAATACCCCAAATAATACCATACTGGAAACCAATTCTAACACTAACACAGGGGCCTTTGGTGGGCAGTTATGATCCGTAGCACAGTATCCTATGCCCTGACCCAAGGGTAAGCCTGAGGCCATCTCACTTGGTCCCAGCCTCTCCAAGAGAGGGCAGCAGGCAGAGTGTGGACTCTGCTGTATTCTGCAGTCTCTCAGTGTGCAGGTGGGGAAGAGGAGCTCCTTCTCAGGACATTGGCTCTGAGCACTGGGCCACGGGCACAACCCCTGGGATGTGGGACTTCCTCTAGGGCTCCCTGTGCTTCCCTGTCCACTGGCAGTGGCTGTTGGTGGCAAGAGAGAGAGAGCTCAGTCACATGGCCCTCAGGGGCTTGTGGGAGCAGGACACTGCAAGCTGACCCCACGGTCCCTGTCCCAGTGCCGCCTGCACCCCTGCTGCAGCTGGAGAAGTGTTGCACCCGCAACAACAGTGTCACACTGGCCTGGAGGACACCACCCTTCACCCCCAGCCCTGCTGATGGCTACGTCCTGGAGCTGGATGATGGCGATGGGGGGCAGTTCCGGGTGAGTCCCATGGGTCCTGGGGGGCCCTGATGCATGGTGGGTGGCCAGGGAGTGGGTTAGTCCATGAGGCTTCTCTTAACCACAGTGCCACCTGAGAACAGGGCCTGGCCACAGGGACCCAGGGGTGCAATTTAGTGAGATCCTGTCTCAAACTAAAAAAGGCTGAAGATGCAGCTCAGCGTGAAGTCACTGAGTTTAATCCTCATAACCACATGCCAAAAAAATTTTTATATATGTGCTTATATACTCAACTTTTAGAGGAAGTGTGTCCTTTGGGAATCACTGAATCTTGTATGGGTATGGGTTATGGGGAAAGTGAGGTGATGCAGCTTGGGTCAGGGACAGCAGACCTTAAGTGAGTGCAGATCTCTGTCTCTCCTGTGGTGCAGGTAAAGCAAGAGGGGGAGGCGCTCCTCTCCTGGAAACCAGAAAGGAGAACAGAGGAAGACTGGAAATACTAAGAGAAGCACCCACAAAACTCAGAGACAGCCCCTCCTTGAGTACAGGCCAAGGCCAGGGCTCGTGGGCAGCAGGGGTGCAGGGAAAGGCGAGGCTTTCAGACATAGCTGGATTTGAAGAGCAGCCCCTACGAAGATTAGTGGGGTTCTGGGAGGAGCTTCCGTCATCTTGTGTGTGTCCCTGGGGTGTGTGGCCATTAGGATACTTCATGCAATGCACAATGATGACTATTAATTTGCAATGGGACAAAAAGTGAAAAGTGAGCCTTCACTAGGCAGGTGGAGGCTGCAGGCCAAATGAGCAGCACGGCATGGTGACAGCTGCCGTGGTCATACGTGCTGGGAGCTAGCAGAACCAGCAGAACTTGGAAGCCAAGGGTAAACAAATCCATAGAAGGGAAAAATTGGGATATGGGCAGGAACATCTTACCCCCAGAGACACCTGGAAAACAGCAGCCCTAAGAAGCCAGAAGCAAAAGATTCCACCTCAATATCAGGAAAGGATGTGGCAGTCCTGTCCCCCAGGCTCCATCTTATTCTGGCAGGGTCAACCTCGGTAGAGGCAGGACATTATCTGGTAGTGTGGCATCCAGCTGCAGACCTGCTGCTCTGTCTCTCTAGGTTCCCCGCCTCCCCCAGCCTCCCAGGCAGAGGCCACCCAACCAGCAGTATGAATACCTGCCCTCTTGACCATGGCTCAGGCCCTGCCGTGCACTGCTGGGCTCTGGCACTTTCTGTCAGTCCTGCTGGGCAATAGCACTCTGAGTGTCAATTTGCTGTGAGGGATTTTTCTGGAGCACTAATGGGCAGCCTTGGCTCTTCCAGGAGGTGTATGTTGGCAAGGAGACTCTGTGCACCATAGACGGGCTGCACTTCAACAGCACCTACAATGCCAGGGTCAAGGCCTTCAACTCCTCAGGTGTCGGGCCGTACAGTAAGACAGTTGTCCTGCAGACATCTGATGGTAAGCACCACATCTCAGAGGGGGCACACAGACACATCCAGTCTTGCCTTGAGTGCTATGGTGAGGATTTTAGAGAAAGGGACTCGTGTCTCACATCCTGGGGTGGTGGGAAGTCAAAGGGGTGTCCCCCTCCATGGGCTGCAGAACAGAGAACTAAGCTATGTGACCTTGGCCACATCACTTTGCTCCTCTGTGTCTCAGTCTCCCACCACGAGGTGGGCCATCAAGGTCCCCTTCCTTCTCTCCTAACAGTGCGTGTGTTTGTAAGCGTCCCAGAAGGCAGGACTGCACGATGCATCTGCATGTGGGACTGGGAGGCCTGAACACCTGTGCTCCTTGGCATGCTGGGTTCTGGGGATGGGAATGTGGAGGAACACAGAGCAAGGAACATGTGCATTGCTGTGTGTGCGTGTGTGCATGTGTGTGTGTGGTGTGTGGACACTTCCCAGACAAAGGACCACTGGACACTGGGTGCCCACTCTCCAGTGAAAACCAATGCGTCTGGGTCTCAGCACATTAGAAACCGTGGGAGAATTCCATCGCCTGACCCCGCTCTTCTTATGTCTTCCCTTCCCAGTGGCCTGGTTCACCTTTGACCCCAACTCTGGGCACCGGGACATCATTTTATCCAATGACAACCAGACAGCCACTTGCAGCAGCTACGATGACCGGGTAGTGCTGGGCACAGCCGCGTTCTCCAAGGGTGTGCACTACTGGGAATTGCACGTGGACCGGTACGACAACCACCCAGATCCTGCCTTTGGGGTGGCCAGGGCCAGCGTGGCCAAGGACATGATGTTGGGCAAGGATGACAAGGCCTGGGCCATGTACGTGGACAACAACCGCAGCTGGTTCATGCACTGCAACTCTCACACCAACAGGTGCGTGCTGCGCTGCCCTTCCTGATGTGCCCATTCCATCTCCACCCTCAATGCCAAGTGCGCAGGGGCCGCGTGGTGGTGTTTTTAGGCACTTGGTTCTCCAGTTCCAGGTGGTTTGACAATTACCAGGGAAGTGACCCCTGGTCTGCAGCCCAAATGAGAGTGTGTGACAATGGCTAGCACAGCACTCGCACACTAGGTCCACAGTCCGCACCTGGTACATGATGGGTATTCTGGGTACCGAGCTCATGGTTTTCTTTCGGGTTTTGCTCCCCTTTCCTTTGCAGCCATCAAGCCAAGCTTGAGTCACTTCGGGCTGTGAGTGGGCCCTGGCTGTCCACAGGGAGCAGATGTTGCCATTTCTGGTCACTCACCTGGAGTGACTTCCACCACTGTCCTCAAGGGTGAGGGAGTCTCAAAACGCCAAGTTCAGTAGGCCCCAACTCTTGACAGTCCGTCCTCACAGATCTCTGCTCTGGGTCTACCTGCTGCTCCTACAGGCAGCCACTTTCCCCACAGCCAGAGAGCAGGCTTCTCTCCCAGGCAATCTTGGTCTGGCAAGAACTGGCCTGAAGTCCCTGGGGATCCCGCCTGCTAGCTGTTTTCTGCTAATGTCCTTCCTTCCAGAGCCTGAGGACAGGCCAGCAGCTTTTTCTCTCTCTGCACTTTCTGCCCTGGCTGTTTTCTTGCTGGCTGGCCCGGCTGTGCAGGCTGAGTGGTACCAGGGCCCACAAGGGGCAGAGTGCTGAGCTCCACGGTAGGAGTCAAGGCCCGGCGCTTCAGGACGGTTACTACCGCCACCCTGTGGTCAACCTCAGAAGAACACCACCAGCCAAGTTCAAGTCCCCTTTCTGATTGTGGGTCCTGACCCAATTAGCCTTCCACACCTTCCAGAAGACCTGCCCTCTCCAGGAACACCCTCCAGGCCCACCCACAACCTCTCCTCCAGGCTTCTTGTTGTAAGCCCTTCCACTGCTCACCTTCTCTGGGCCTGGGCTACCCAGCTCAGTCCTAAGAGGAAGCACCGACGTGCTTTTCCTATGGGGTGAGTTGGCCCATGGGTGTGATGAAGGTCAGCCAGACCCAGGCCGTTCTCTGAGGGTGTTCCTCCCCAAGCACGTGATACAGGTTCCCGTAGCTCCATCACTGAGGTGCTCAAGGCCCCACCGCTGGCCACCTGGGGATGGAGACTCAGACACAGGGTTTGATTTTCAACTTGTGCCCTTCCACTTGCCATAGCTTTGTCCCCAAGATGGTATGTATGTTCTGCAACCTTTGTGTCCACATCTCAATCCAGCTCTGCATCGGCATAGCTTAAAACTAAAAGGGGGACCAAGTTAGTTCCTCTCTTTGGCAGGCAAAGGCAACTTTTACATTCATTCTGCCTCTTCTAAATTCAGAGGGATCCCTTTCTCTGGTGTGCAGGTTTCACTTAGTGCTGGGCAGAGCTGAGCAACTTGGTCTCCCAGGTTAAAAGACTTGCTGTGCGGTCCGGTAATGGATGTGCCTCACCAGATGCTTGAAAAACCACAGAATATGCCTTGCGCCAACCCTGGGGTGAGGGTATCCCTGACATACTTCAGAGGATTCTCCTGAGTCATGGCCTGTACCCCAGGCTGAGTGTGGTGATGGGTTTTCCTTCCATCTCTCTAGGACGGAAGGTGGCGTGTGCAAGGGGGCCACTGTCGGTGTGCTTTTGGACCTGAATAAGCGCACTCTGACCTTCTTCATCAACGGGCAGCAGCAGGGCCCCACAGCCTTCAGCCATGTGGATGGGGTCTTCATGCCGGCCCTCAGCCTCAACCGCAACGTGCAGGTACTGTTTGCCTGCTGCCAGGGGTGGTCTGTGCGCTCCCCCTGCTAGCCATGGGCTGCTGCCCTCCCTAGAGCAAGTCAGAGTCTCAGGAAGCTGGTCACTAGCCCACCAGACAGAGCAGAGAACCTGGCTACCACTGCCCCAGCATGCCCAGGGTGGGGTCTCTTTGTGAGGATCAGTTCCCCCTTGTTCTCTTGGACCAAGTGGGGCTGACTTTAGAGAAGCAAAGCACAGCGCTGGGCCCAGGCAGAGAGTCCTGGCCAGAGACAAAATGAGAGGCCTCTCCATCTTAAGGAAGCTTTGGAAAAAAAAAAAAGAGAGGCCTGAGGATGGTGGGAAGAGAGACCCAAGGATGGCATCCTTATCCTCTAAAGGAGTGTCACCTAGAGGGTGGAGACCTGCCTTGGGCTGCTCACCGGCCCTACATACTGATGCATCTATAGCAATCATTTCCTTTTTAAAAAATATATTTTATTACTGCCTATTAGTTTTACAAAGTGTTGGGTTTCAATGTATTTTCATACATGCGTAGAATGTATTTTGAGTATATCTATTTGCCCTCCTGCCCTTCCTCATACCTCTCCACTGCCCCTTGTGAACTTCCTTGAACTCTATGTGGTCCAGGCTGGTCCCAAACACACTGATCCTCCTGCCTCATCCCCATCCTTGAGATTAGGGAATGTGCCACAATAACTAGCTAACTTTTTTTAAGATTTCATATATTAGGGAAAATGTAATCTTGCCTTTCTGAGTCTGCTATATTTTGCTTAATGTGATGACCTCCAATACCATTCATTTTCCTGCAAATGACAATTACTTCTTGATCATTTACAAGGCTATTAGTAGTAAGTCCCTGGGGTGAGCAGCCCAGAAACAGGAAAGGGAAGCAGGCTGCAGCCTCAGCTGTCTGGTCCTCTCTTCCAGGTCACCCTGCACACAGGACTGGAAGTGCCAACAAGCCTGGGGAGGCCAAAGCTGACAGGCAACTAGCCTGGCAGCTCCCACTGTCCAGCTGGCCTGTGACTGGGGCCTCTTTGGAAGGAGCCACAAGTCCTCAAGAAGCTCCAGTCATCCAAGGGGGCAGGCAAACAACAAACAAGTCCTGGCACAGCTCAGCAGCCACCAAATATCTGGAGATGGTTTCTATGGGACGTGTTGCAGGTCATGCTGTAGCTCCCACACCAGTGGAGGACACAGGTGTGCCCTTCACTTTCTCCCACCCAAATGCTATGGAGACTCACCACGTGGGGCTCACCCAGGGAGCAAGGCCTTTGGGTCACGGGTATGCTTCCTGCTGTCTGATTGCAAAGCTGATCTTTTGTTGGAGGAGACAGGAAGGCAGACTTTAAGGTTGGCACCCTGAGATGGAGCCAGGGGCTGTGATGTCACCCCATGCATAAGTGTTACCCCTGCTGGCAGGTTCTCATCTTTTCTGGGAGAAGTCATCCTTCAGCATTTCGGCTCTGGGGCCTTCAGTACATGACATGTCACCTGCAGGCCTAATTCAGGACTGATCAACAGGGACATTAATCGTTAATGCTTGATTTTTGCCTCTCTCTTACTGAGAACCTTTTAAAGGGCTTCCTTAGGGTCTTTATTAATCAGCCAGTTGTATGCTGTCTTTCTGTCTCTCTCTGTCTCTTTCTCTCTTTCTCTATCTCTCTCACTGTCACACATATACACACACACATAACACACACACGTTTGTCCAAAAGTCAGTTACATATCATTCCCTGAGTTCTTAATTCTTAGCCATAGATGGAAATATTGGAATTTTAATGCCTGTGACATGTCTTCACCTAGAGGTGACTTTTCTGGAATTGGCTGCCCTAGAAGCTAACTGGAAATGTGTCCAAGCTATTCTTCTGAGCCAGGCCACCCACATACTTAGAAACAGAGGGGCTGGAGACCTGGGAAGGCCTCTCATATCTGTCCGCCTTTTGCTTTGTGGCCTCTAACCACACACTGCTGTCAGGAAAGCATTAGACACGAGAAGTACCCCGATGGCAAGAGGGTGGCTCTGCTGTGACAGGGTGGGCAGGACCGTGAGAAAGACAGGAACTTAATAGCAATGGCCTGCACTTGTTCGTCTCCAGGCCAACCCGAGGTGCACTGTGTCCCGTGGGCCAGGGAGTGCTGGGGTGAGTCCTCCCCCTCCTGGAAACAGAACTGGGAGGAGGTTCACATTGTCCTCCCACTTCTTGGACTTGACCTTGGGCTCCTGCCTTGTTCCCTGTGTTCTACTCCTCTATCTCCACCTGGAAGTCACCGTGCTCTTTCCTTTTTAAGACTCTTTTTTATAAGTTATTTGATTTTGATGTTGGGGACTGGCTTGTCCACTTGTTGGGGTGGGTTTTTGTAAGACCGGCACCAACTGTGCTTCCTCAGCCACTTTCTCGTGCAGATCCCAACTGTTTCTTAGGATCCGCTGCCAGGCTGTGCAGGGCCAGCCATCCTACCTCGGACTTCACTCACGGCCCGCCATCTCCTCAGATGTGCCCAGGTGGGGCAGCTGCCTAGTATCACCAGGAGCAGCTTGGTGCTGTATTCCGGCCTCCACACTAGGCCCTGGAGCCACCTGCTCTGTGGAGGTCCAGGGCTTGACTCCAGCGCTTCTTCCTTGCCTACTGGTTTCTGTTTCTGTTTACCCTGTGCCAGAGCCATGTCCAGAGCTCTCTGTCGCATACAAGACCTGACATGCTGTCCTCCTCTGCTCGGCTGCCTCCCCCACCCACTTTCCTATAGCCTCGGCCCTGGCCTCCGCTCCAGGACCCTGACTCCCCATGAGGTAGATACCCAAAGCCTGAAGAACACAGAGGCCACAGCCTTCTTGCATCAAGGAAGCCATGGTGAGGTCCACAGGTCCAGATGCCTGTGGCTTTGGGAGTGTCTTGCTGTCCTGGAGAAGACAGGCTGTGCTCTGGGCATGAAGCCTGTGCTGGCAATGCTGTGAAGTCAAAGAGGTCTCAGTCAGAAGGGTCACAAGGACACCTAAAATCACCCATCTTGGAGCAGGAGCAGTTCAGGAATGCTGGGGAGCCAGCAGTCAAATCAAGGAAAGGCAGAAGTACAAATCAAAGTGCCCACAATTTCAGGTGTTTTGTTTTTTAAAGCAGTGCTGGAAATCAAACCCAGGGCCTCACACATACTAGGCAAGCACCTACCACTGAGCCATACCCAGGCTTCTCTCGGTGGGCCTCTTTAAGAACAAAGTTGTCTGACATTCTAAGAGCAGCAGCCAGGACAGCGCATTGAGGTGAGGGCATTTCCCCTCTTATCCGCACCAGAGCCCAAAAGCAATAAAGCTAAGGCCAGGGGCAGTGTTGGGGACTCCTTCCAGGCCACCACAGACAAAGCTTTTCTCAGGGCAACCATGAGCCACAGAGAGAAGGGCAGGCTGGCTACACATTTGTGCTTTTGTGGGGTTCAAAAAGAAAAGAAGGAACTTACCAAGGCTGAAGTAGTAGAAGGGACAGACAGGTCATGGGATTCTCATCACCCAAATCCCCTACCACTTTGCAGTGTGGCCAGATGCTTGTACATAAACAAGATCAGGATGAGGTTTCGGCTGGGCTGGCTGAGGGGCACCTTGGTGTCAGTCTGCTAACAGTTTCCGTGAAAAAGGGACTCAAAGTAGCTTAAGATGTGGAGTTCCATTGTCACACTGATGCCTCTGTACATAGCCCCACAGTTCTTTCTTTGCTAGTGAGCCACTTTGATCAAAGTTCATCTCTTTTAGAAGAACTCATGAGAATCTTCCCTCACTCTGAGCATCCATCTCTTGCTCCAAGACAGGAGGGCAATGGCCACAACAGGCCGTTTTTCCTTCTCTCCTCTTTGGGACATGATGATCCCAGTTTTAGTGAACATGGGTTCCTGGCCTAAGCACTGTGACCCAGGCTGATTGTCAGCCTCTATGTGCTCCATAGCTGCAACAGCACCCTGATGCCCTGTGGCCCCCGGGGTGGGGTGGGGACATGCATCCCAGAGCAAGCCTATGTGACACTGTGGTGCTCCCTAAGAGAGGAAAGAAGCCCTCCTCTCTGAGCCTTTTCTCTACTTATAGTGTCCCTGCCCTGCTAGAGCACCCTCAGGAAGACTCAGGTGCAACATCGCTCTGACTTTCCGGGGATTCCTGCCTCACTCGAGTGAAAGGCTGACTTCCTGCTAAGGCTTGTTTCTATGCTAGTGGCAGGTGGTTGCCCAGTCCCACCACTACCTGCAGCCGGGAAGGTGGGTGAGCCTTTTGGGACCTCAACATGGGAATGTTGAAGAACACCATAACAAATCTGGAGGTGAAGCCAAAGTATCTCACTTCTATGGACACTTTGGGGCAACCTCCAGTTAGTTGTGACAATCACAAGTATCTAGAGAGGTTGCCAGATATTCCTGGGACTTTCCCACTGTGAGCACCATCTAGTCATGCTATTGGTCTGTCATGCGTCAATATTCAGAGTGATGGTGGCAGCCAATTCTGTGCTGCACTGAAACCCTGTATCACAGAGCTGCCAGCGATTATGTCAGCTCAAGATCAGGATTTTCCACAAGCCTTCAGTGGGCCCTTCAGTTGGGGAAAGGGACGAGCCACAAGCATATGCCATGCTGCCAGGTGTCACATCTTTGCTCCTGGACAATGCTCGGCACCACCCTCCTTCGTCAGGAAGGAAAAACTCCTCGCTTTTGTTTTCTTTGGTCACTAGATGCAACAGGGAATTTTTAATGAGTTTGTAGCCTTTAGCAGGTTGCAAAATCTAATCAGATATTTCTACAAGATACTCAAGTCTGTACCAATCCTGGGAACTCTCAGGACTTTTTTTTTTTTTTGAAGTGGGTCCATAGCTGTTGTCATTGACCATCTTCCTCAGCAGCTCTTCCCTGACGGAATCCCGGCAGCTTAGGGAAATGCAGCAGAAAGATGCGGGTGGGCTTGGCGTGGGATGCACTCACCAGACACCACGTGCAGCCCTCAGATGTTCCTTGCTGTTAACCTGGCTTTGACTCTGGGTCATGGGAATGGATGGGGGCAAATCTCTGAATCTTTCTGTGCCTCAATATCCCCACCTGTAAATGGGACTAGTCACAATAACCTACCTCCTCTTTTGTCTTGTGAGGATTATGGAATAATGGTTTTTAAAGAAAAAACGTATCTCAAGTCTAGATCAGTGGCTCACATCTGAGCAATCAATGCTATGCGGGGAATTTTCCAGACTCCTCTGACCACAATGTCTTCCATCTAAAGCCTCCTTGTGACTAGGACAAGTATTGATTACTCAGCTATCAGGAGGAGATAGAAGAGGCATTTAAAACAGGTGCATTTGAACAAAGACAGTAACACTCCAAGTGTTCCATTCCCAGGGAGGTCTGGTGCTCCATTCAAGTGCAGGGAAGAAGCTTCCTGTCAGCAATCTCGTAATTTCAAGCAGAAGCTCCACCACGCCAAGGAGACATTAATCTGGCATTCTGTCCACTTGGTCACTAAGGCCTGGTGTCACCGACAAGTTCTCTGCAGTGAGCAGAGAGCTGATGACTTCTGGGACTTCACTTTCTGAGCTATTAAGGGGGAAGTCTCAACGGATGATGTTAACTTCAACTGGATGGAGTTGGGAGTTGACTCAATGTTCTTCTCTCAAGAGGCACAGCTCATGGTGGCCACAGCCTCCAACCTAGTCCTTGGAATGGCCCTGGAGCTTGTGGGCCAGTAAAGTGGGCACTGAGCACCAGATCAGACCCCCGAGCAAGGCTTCGGGACTAGAAAGGGGCTGGTGGTAGCTATGAAAGCAGGACTTAGGGATGCATGCTTCATGAGACAGGCTTGGGACAGCCATTCCAATCCCTCCCGCTGGAGCCTGGACTTCTTGAGCCCCGCAGGGTCTCAGCACTGGGAGGAAGGGTAAGTGGCAAAGCAGAAATGTAAATGCATGATGTAGAATTGCTGCCTTCGCACTATGCTGTTGTATTAAGCATGAGAGGTGTTTGTTTAACGTTGGCAAAGGAATTTAACAAGAAAAAAGCTGTGTCCTTGTTTTGGCTGTTGACAGACTTTCCATTTTCTTGTCTTTCTCTGTCCCTTTTCCCTCCTCTTCCCATCACATCACTTTGTCCCTAGTGGTTAGTATTTGGTGGCAGATCTCGGTCCTGTGGCTGTTCCTGTTCCACGGAAAAAAAAAAAAAAAACAAAACACTGAGGGGTGGGCAGTGGTAAGAAAAGTAATTTTTTCTAATTTTTGTATTGGTATCCCCAAGCGTTTGTATTTTTTTAATTGCAAACACTGTGTTTTGTGGTCTTTGGCAGTTGGCAGCACTTTCTGTATTATCTTTTGAAAAACTTGAGTTTTACCACAGTCTTAAGCAAATTTGAAATAAATTCTTTTGACACTGCCAGCAACTGGAGACCTGTGTGGTCTGTGATGGTAGCTCAGGGCAACCTTGTGCCTTTCTGCTGGACAAGCAGAGGAGGCTGGGCTCTTACCTAGGAGGGCCATTAGATGGGTGCTATGGATAGTGGGCCAGTGCGGTTTTGCTTTGTGGACCCAGGAAATCTTGAAGTGGTGATATATGTGGCTTTAAATGGAAAGGCACACCCTCAACAGGGGGGAGGTCATGGAATTCATGTCTACAGAAGGTAAAGAAGCTGGAGCCGGGATATAGTTCAGTGGCATAAACACCTGCCTGGTAAGTGCAAGGTCCTGAGTTTGATTCCTGGTATAAAACCCCCCCAAAAAACACAAAAAAAAACAAAGAAATTGGAGATGTGGGACAGTCAACACATGCAACATAGATCCACAAGTGAAAAATTTATCTGTGCTCCAAACAGAAACTGAGCTGTAGGGAAACACTGTAAATTACGGGCCTCCAAGAGACTCACTGGCCCTTCGGCCCCAGGGACTGAAACCAGATGTGTCTGACCCGGAAACTTAGTGCTTCACTGGCTCCTCACACCATGGTCTTCATGACATCTCCATAGCCCAAGACCATCTACCCACTGACCACTGGGGAGCTTAGCTATGGAAGCTGCAGGTTAGGATTCCAGGAAAAGCTGAGACTAGAGTGTGGGTGTCTCTTAGGGGTGCTCTTGGGATCAGCACCCATAGGAGTCAAGAGGAGGAGGAGGGATAGGACAGAGGGTAACATCAAGACCCAGTGAAGCCCTTGGCCAACTCATCTTTGGAGTTCCTCTGAGCTGGGGTGAGAGGACCAAACTTTGAGTCCTCCCATCAGTTACAAGGACACAAGGAAGGGGTTGGAACAGTCCCTGAAGATCCCTCTCTCTGGGTCACACTTGCCTCTAACATATTCTTCCCTGCAAGCCTTTGGTCACATAAGAGGATGGCTGGGTAGCATATGCTGGATCCCCAGCTGCCTGTGGCTGACATGTCTTCTCCCACTGTCCTCTGTTCACTCTTGGGGATTTGGGGCCAGCACAAGACTCACAGTACAGATACAGGTAAGAAAACCAGTCAGTTAGTTCACCCTGCAAGACCCAGCCCAAATTGTGTTTCCAGGAAATTTCCCCAGATCTGCTGAGCTGTTGTGTCTTTCAAGATGTTGATGACCCTTTGGTACATAGTTCTGGTGGGGAGAGACCTGCTTTCATAAGACTCGGCATGACCTCCGAGTTGCAGTTGTGTCAGGAAGGGCAGAGTAAGCAATGTTCATGAAATACCTTGGCACTCATTCTCACTTGTCCCTGTGGGATGCACAGAAAAGAATGAGCTCCTTCCTGGAGGAAGTCAGCCACACCAGTGTAGTGGTACCAGTGTAGGGGGGCAGCCAGGATAGCAGCTGGTGACAGGTAGGGGATGCTGGGAACTCCAAACAGGGGCATCATGGTGAGGAGTTTATTTGTCCTTCAGGCTGATTCCATGACCGCACATGCTTCCTTGCACCATCAATCCAGTGAAGCAATCGGTGACAATGAGAGGCCTTGGAGTTACACAATCATGCTTTGCTTTCTGCCAGCTGCCTACCAAGTTGACTGCGCAGCCATTTCCTGGCCTGTTCACTGTGTCCAAAGGCCACAGTTCTAGAGGCCTTTTGTCCAGCCCTCTGGCTGCTCAGCCCTGGTCGGTCACCTCACCCACACATGTCCTACAGAGCTGTGTGGACTGAATGGTGCAGTGTGTGAAGACCGGATAACAATTACTGCCAAGGGCAGATGGTGATACACAAATGGTCAGAGTGCATCTGAGCTGGGGACCGAGGCCGTGGTGCCCTCCCTTTGTGCCAATGACCAGACTTCAGAGGTAACTCCATCTTCTTCCTGATGGCTTTTTAATAATCACTTCTCTCTCAACAATCACTTCTGACCTTACTGGAGGAAAACTCACCAGCAGAAAATAAAAAGCACTGGCTTAAGCTTGACCTTTAGTTCTTAGTTGTGTTTATTATTTTTGTCTTTAAGCCTCTAAGGGTTTCTGGAGCACCCAGTTTTCCCAAGACTGCTTTTTAAATATTTACATAATAAAAAGTAGAAACAAAACACAAGAAACAAAAAGAAGTTCAGTGGTTCTGAACTCAAATTTGCATGGTTCTTCCAAAGTGCACTGGATACTAGATGACTGACCTTCGTCTTGCCAGCAGAGACTGGGGTTGAAAGGGACCCCACCTTGCCTAGCCCTGCCCTATCCCTCTCCAATGAGCTTTGACGGTTTGGACAACTGAGTACTTGGCCACACTGGACTAGAATGTCAGTCCAGTGCACTTTGGAAGAACTAGAAGGGACCTTCTAGTTCCTAAGATTTTTTTTTTTTTCCTAGCATTTTCTGTCATGTTTAAGATCTTCTAATATTTTGAGATAGCAACTATATTTAAACCTGCTATGTTGCCCATGCTGGCCTTGAATTCATAGATTCTCCTGTCTCAGCCTCCTGAGTGCTGTGATTACATATAGTACCACACCACAGCTAATACATTTAAAAAACATTCTTATAAAATGCCAAATATATTCTCTAGTGAACACTGCCTTTCATAGTAAGCCTGGATTCTCATTCCAATTCTGCTGGCATTATTCAATTTTGTGTTTCTTATTTGGCAATGCTTTCAGAGTCAACTCAAAGTAACGTAACACAGTCTATCATGTACAGCTCTTTGGGGTTTTTTTGACAAAATTTGTTTGCTAGGCTGGGATCTGATACTTATGGCAATAAAACAGTCAAAGTAGGCACTGTGGTACATGCTGGTAATCTCAATTACTCAGAAGGCTGGAGCAAAAGGATTATAGGCCCAAAGCCACCCTGCGCAATTTAGCAGAGACTACCTCAACTTAAAAAAAAAAAAAAAAAAGACTGGGGATGTGCTTCAGTGTTAGAGCAATCTTGTGTACTATAAAAGCTGTGTTTATTTCATGATCCAGTAACACTGTCATTAAAAATATTAAAAGGCAACTTAATATTAATTACTAGCATTTATAAGACAGTAAGATAAAAAATGGTGTCGCAAGCAGAGTGGCCCAGCACCAATGCACAGGAACGGAAGTGAGGCCTGCTCCCTCGGCCCGTGGTGTAGCTCCACACAGATACGGCGGAACCCATAAAGGCTCTGCCTTCCTCAAGTGAAGAGGCAGCACGTGGCACATGAGCTGTCTGGAAGTCTGGTCAGGTCCAAGGTTGGATGGTCATTTGTTCTCTTTATCTGATGAAGTCCTTCATTTAGGTACTCTGGAAGAGTTTATTTTCTTGATATCAAATGGGCTCAGGATCAATGTCCCATTTTTGAATTTTCCAACCTGCCCAACTCTTCCGCTTGACAAAATACTAGGAGCCGTCCTCTTCTTCTTGGATTTCCTATGTTCAAGGTGAGAAAAAGGAGCCACGCAGTTAGGCATAGGAAAAAGCACTGCAGGCCACCCCAGGCTGCTTATAAACCTGTCCCTTCCCATGTATAGCCGGCCCAGGTCTACTGGTCTTCCTGCCTCAGGCCCCTGCAGGAGGGAATGATTTTTCTAGGCTGTCCCTTTCTCTCTTTCCACCGGTGATCTTCTCTCACAACAGCCTCATCACAAGGCTTGCCAGTACCTAAAAGGTCACTGCGGTTATGTGTCTGGTGCTTTCCTAAAGCCAGCCTTGGAGGACAGAGGTGCCCTCAGTGTGACTGCAGCTGTACCAACACCTCGGTGACATCACCCATGTGTCCAGCACACTGCAGGCACTCAACAGACAAACACCTGTCACTATGGCCATAAGAAATGATCAATTTCTGGCATGTAAAAGCACACAAGGAGTTCAAGGAAAGGGCCAAGGCAGTCCATTCTGAAGCAGGCACCGAGAGAAGGAATGGAATACCTGAATGGAAGCTAAGAAACAGGCATGAGGCAGTGGTCAGTGCTCCTTCCTGAATCTCATGGCACTCAGCCCTCCATGAAAGGCAAAGATGGTGTGGTACACCAACGACATCACACTCAGCTTCTCCACCAGTCACCCAACACGTCTGGTCCTTGACAGTGGGAGACTGCAGAGGGTCACAAGTTCAGTTCTGAGGCCATCTGGTCTTTGGAAATTTACTAAAAGCTACCTTCCCTATAGGTTCGATCAGGATATCTGAGGCAGAGAAGCCCTCTAATGGCTGGAATGACACACGTGAGATGCTGTGTCAGATCTAAGAGGCTCACCCAGCCCTGGCACCGGCAGGCATTACTCACCTATCTTCCTGTCCTCTCCTCCTCTTCTTGAAAATATCTGCATCCCGGGCCTGATTTCAGAAGTTAAGATAATAAATGTGTCAGTGATGGATACTGCAGATTCAAAGCAGGGCAAGAGGCTTGTGACCAAAGCCACCAACATACCTCTTATTTTTAACAATTTTTTCAAGTGGGTATATTAAACATACAGACTCAAAGTCTCATCTTGAAACCCTTTCAAGAATGCAGAAGCTATTCTGGGTAGACTGACAGTCTTATGCTGAAAAATCAGGTCACTTCCAATTTGGGTGGGAAGAAGGGAGCATCACATCTATTTCTTGTGGCTTTTCACAAGCGTCTGTGCGCTTTCAGTGTTTAACGTACAAAATGAGGAGGCATTGGAAAGTAGCCAGCGTTTCCTGTGAGGAGACTGCTCCTCAGAGTTACCCTTTCCTGCCAATATGCTCGTCCCTCAGCTAGTCTTACAAGATGCAGAAGACGCGAAGTGCAGGGAATTTGCCATGCAACTCTGTGTCCTGACTTTGTTGTGGGCAGCAGCCTCTTGCACGTCACTGTGGCTGGCTGCATTCACCACCCTGATCTATAGACTAGAGTGAAGAATAGACCACAGTATATTATACCTACCACTCTCTTCTCTTCTTCCTGTGCTGCCTTTTTTTCTTTGAGCTGGTTCTGTAAAACTTTGTAATTTACGTAACTATTTTTGGGAGGCTAAAATGAAAGAATAAGAATATATATCATCAGATTTTGTTCTGCAGAAATGTCCCTATGTCCATGTGTCACCCTAGATTTTCCTTTCTGCATCTGCCTGCCAATGAAGGTACCCCCTCACCTTGGCACCGAGCATGATGGCACGTTCCCGTTCCAGGACTCTTTCCTTTCCTTTCCCGTAGCCCGTGATCCCAAATCGGTGCACTTCCAACCGAGCCTGAGAATACCAAACAGAATCCAACCCCAGTGCATCCCAAAAGAGGTGCATCCCCAGGTGACACAGCCCAGACATACAGTGCCAGCCCAAAAGGGAGGGTAATGGATCCGCTGGGCTGTGGCTGAAAGATCACAGTAGACTCTCTTCCACATCATTACCGCCTCGTGACATCATCCTCCCTTGTTAACAGCCAAAGCCAAGAACTGTCTCTGCATAATGTAGACAGAGCTAGGACACAAGGCAGAGCTCTGCCATATCCTAAGATGCTCCACCCAACAAGTTGTCACCCAGAATGGCAATGGCTTCAGCTGAACAGTTCATTGAAGACACACCCACCTACACTTCAGTCTGAGTCACGGCAGTTCACATGCAGACTGAGTTGTCAGAAGGAAGACAGCACATTACCAAATCCCACACTTTTAGTTGGCTAAATTACTTTCTCCTATTTTTTTTTAACGTATTTTTAAAACCTGTTACAAATGCAGAAGACATCCCTGCCTTTTTAACTTACCATCTTATCACTGCTATTGTTACTGGAAAACTGTCATGTATTAAGTAAGTGCGACAGTTAATGAAGGATGTGGTGAGAATTCACTTAACCATTTCTCGAGCCATTAGACATGTAAAATACGTAGGATTTTTTGTATTATGAATAAATCTGCTAATGTATTATAAATTTTATGGGCATAAACTTAGTATAACTATAATAAACTTCTAAATTAATTATAAATAACACAACAATCTCAAAATACATACCTTTTCTAGATTAAATTCTTGAATATCTGCATCTTTCTCATGGACACTGGTTTTAGTCTATAAAGAAAACCAAAGGGCAAATACTGTTACAAACCTACTTGCGCAAGGTGCCAAGTGTAGGCATATTCATAGAGACAGAAAGCTCCCAGGGGTTGGGAAGGAATGGGGAATTACTGTTTAATGGGATACAGTTTTAGTCTAACATGATGAAAAGAGTTCTGGGTGGATGGTGGTGATGACAATGGTTAGACAGTAGGCAGGTATCTAATACCACTGAATTACAAGATGATTGTTTCTTGGCCTTTTGGCTAACATCAAGTATAAAAATAGCTAAGATGATAAATTTTGTTTTGTACAATTTACCATAATAAAAATTATGGAAAAATGGGGCTGGGGATTTAGCTCAGCAGCATAAGCACCTGCCTTGCAAGCAGGCGGTCGTGAGTTCGATCCCCGGTACTAATAAAAAAAAAAAATACGGAAAAAAAGAACAAGCCTTGAAATATCAAATGATTATATACACATATTGCTTAAAATCCTAATTAACAGTTAAGGAAATAGAGAAAGTATTTTTTGAGATCTCCAAGTGTTACAAAGGAATAACAAAATTAAGGGAAAAAAAGGAAAGTACACGAGAGAGAGCAACGTTTGGTGTCCTGGACCAGACGGAAAATTTTGCCTAGTACAGGGCTCTGAACAGGGCCCCTGGCTGAGCAGACAAAACTGCTGCTTTTCATCATTCTCTTCCTCCCTCCCATGTATCAGGATGATATTCTCTTAGGTTGAATATTCTTCCTGAAATTATGCAGTGATGGAGATCTGCTTGTAATTGCTGATAGTAAACACCTCTCCAATCTATGATCTCTCACACCAACACTCAGCCATAGTCGCAAGCCCCAGAAGGGACCAGACATCCCATACTTTATGGGAGCCACTGTCAACCCCAGGCCCCATTGTGTCCTGACAGAAAGTGAGCACTGAACACTGCACAGCCTCTAGGAAAGACAGCGTCTCCTCCAAGGACAGTGAAGGAGCCAGTCAGCCCTGGCCTGCCAGAGCTGCTCCCTCCCACACTGCTGGAAGGTGCCCACCACAGCACAGTCCCCGTGTCCTGCTCTCTCCTCCAGAGAGCTGTGCTCCGGCTCTTCCTGGGACCTTGCCTCAGCAGGTGTGTGGGTCAGTCAGGGATTATTTTCACAGTTGATGGCTTCTCCTGTCACCCAGTGAGATGACTATTTGGGTGCTGAAGACCCTTCATTTACTGCATGGGCTGCTATTACAATGAAACAGGATACCATCTGGTGACCAGGCAGCTCAGCATGCAATAAGCCTGAAGACATGGTCAGTACTCTTCTTACCAACGTATGTGTGGCTCGCAGTCACAGCATGACAGTACTGCATCCCTGCAGGCCCACTGTCACACTACGGGGCTTGGGTGCTGGCAGTTAGTATGTCCAAGTCCATGGCCTGGTTCTCTATCAACCAAAGTAAACACATTCCCCCATCTCTCTGTATCAAGCTGCTGGCTTTTATTATGCTTATGACTTTCCTCAGATTGACAGCATCAAATGCCTTCCTTAGAACCACAGGCACAGCACAAGGAAAGCTGGGGGGGGGGGCATGTCCTTTTTATCTACCCCAGAAAGTCTTCCATCCCATGACTAGAAAAAAACATCTTAAATTTCCATTGAATGTAAGATGTATTTTCCATTGGCATGCACATCTAAGTTACTAAAGATGATAAACAGTAAGACATTTTCTCCTTTTTTGGCAGTACTGGTAGTTGAAGCCTGTACTAACCTATATTACCAGCCCTTTTTCTCTTAAGGCAAGGTCTTGCTAAGGTACCCAGGTTGGGGTCAAACTTTCAATCCTCTTGCTTCAGCTTCCTAGAATGCTGAGAAGACATTTTTGAAGGATTAAATCTTTACTAATATCAGGATCACGTATCTAAACCTTCAAAATACAAATTTAATATATAAAAAACAAATCAAGGCCAGGGATTTAGCTCAGCAGCATAAGCACCTGCCAAGCATGAGGTTGTGAGTTCAATCCCCGGGACCAAAAAAAAAAAAAAAGAAAGAAATCAGAACAAAATCCTTGGATACTGTTAGCAGATCTCCAAAATCCTGTGAGACTGCCGAACTCCTCCCTCCAGAGCTGAACTTCCTTTTAAGCACATTCCATTTCCAGCAATACTGGGGGTGTCACAGATGCTCTGGATGGTGTGTTGCCGGAAGACTGGCATGAGAATGGAGCCATTTATAAAGCGATAATCACTGCAGTAAAATTCTTGTGACAGCTAGGGACCTCTGATCTCTAAGGAGTTACTGGCTCTCAGAAGAGGGGCAGTGGCCAGTCTGGGAGTCCCTGTTTTCCCCAACAGAAGCCCCACAGCATATCCAGGCTGCAGGGACAGGGTTTTGGAGGTGGGGCTGTTAGGCCTAACACAGGGCAGGACCCTGGGCAGCATATCTGGCCTGGACAACAGATACCTCAATGTCCATATCCCTTGACATTTTGCCATAAAAATCCTAAGTTTTGTAGCTGCTAACATGTTTTTGTGAAAGAGTCTGAAGTCTACTTCTCTGTATATAAGAAATATAAACACAACTGTCTTTTTTTTTTTTTTTTTTTTTTCCTCTTTTCCTTTCATTGCCCTGGGGATTAAAACAGGGCCTTCACACTGAATTACATACCCAGCCTCCAGACTGGGTCTTGCTAAGTTGCCTGGACTGGACTCAAACAAGGCAATCCTCCTGTTCTGCTTCCCAGAGTCCTGAGATTATCCAGGGCTGTAACTAACACTTTTAACACCATTGCAGTCTGTTATTCATAAGGCACTCCTCACTTTAGAAACCATGGCAAGAGGCATTATTGTCAATGCTGGGAAGTGGCTTACTTGTGGCTTGATATTAGCTAGGCCTATGTGTCCTCTGAGCAAGAAATGTGGGCAGTGAGGGCACCTGTCTCCTTCAAATGGAACTCTAAAAAGCCATTCAGTATTTAGTGAAGAAAAGGAGCAGTGGTGCCTGATGTTGTCCCCATCAGCATGGTCCCCAGGGAAAGAGAAGGGGCAAACATGTAGCCCAGAAAAAACTCTTTACTTTTAAACCACTGAGATGTAAGCCACAGCCTAACCCAGCAGCAAGTTTATGGTTCATGTGTTACTGTGTTTTAAGACAAAAGATATTAATGTATCAGTTGCTTTTTCTAACCTAAAACCTCAGCATTCAGATTAACTATAGTGTTGTCACTTTGTGGTAAATAAGTGGGTTTAGGGCTGCAGTCTGGCACTTTGTCTCTAAAAGGTTTGCTGTCACTGTCCTAACTTACCACAACTTCTTTAGCCATTCCGTCCCATACGAGGGAGAGGGAAATGCTGAGAGATCTGGACAACTTGTGTGTTAGGCAAAGAAAAAGGAGAAAAGTTATAAAAAGGGAGTTTGGCGAAAGCTAAGGGGCAGGGATGAAAGCAGATAACCTTCGGAATCAGCAAATTTGTTTATGGGCTGACTTGCTGATCAAGAGCATCTTTTTTTTTTTCTCCAGCGTGGATTTTTCTTTAACTTATTAATTACAATGTCAAATCTGTCTGCAATGAAAGTAGCCAAGTTAAACACCTTTTTTTAAAAACCGCAGGCAATTTGAGGAATATACTACAAAGTTTGTCCCCAGCTTACTGAGTACAAATTGCCTCAACCACTGTACTTTCTTCCTAACATTGATTTGATACTCGCTCTACCCCCAACCAGGCAGTGTGATAGAGAGAGGTGACCCTGGGGCACCGCAGGGTGAAGACAGCACCAGGACGGCCAAGTACCTAAAACATGGTCAGTGCTACCTGACAATAATGTGGGACAGGTGTCTTATCTGGTGATGATTCTGGTTCCATGCAGTTTCTTAGTTAAAAGCACAAAGAGTCTATATATATATGATTTCCATGGAGCAGTTAAGTACACAGCCTTGAGGCCAGAATGCCTGAGGGTGAACCTAAACTTTGGCAGCCCCTCAATCCTTTATCTGGATGCCTAGGATCAGGTTCCGTCTTCTGGCTTTTTAAATGCCTTTACAGTTTTAGAATGGCAGTACTGAGTAGAGTGAATATTATATGCCACTTTTGGTAGGGTCTAAGCCAGTAACCCATCAACACATACACAGATATTTCTGCAGTAATCTCCATGAATATTCACCTCTTAGTTGATGAACAAAAAGCCTCGTCAGGTTTTTCTGCCAAATAAATTTGCACAATCTTAAAAAAGAAAACCACCAGTGTGGTTTGTAGCAAGCACTCTGAGTGTTTTGAATAGCCAGTATACTGTGGGGCTGATGTTTAGCTGCAAGCAAGAAACTATCTTGTACGCAGCTCCTCTGTGGAATGAGGTCAGATCCTCGGAATGGTGGGGCTTAAGTGAGATGCTGGGTCGGTTACTGGATATGGATAACCACACTGGGCACACAGCAGGCACCCCCAAAGCAGTAGCTCCTGCACCAGAAGCCACCTTCATGCTTGGTCCAGATCACAGACACAGGAGTCCCTTCAGATCTGTTCTTCCCATTACAGTACATCCTTCCTGTCCCTTTTAATTTAGGCCATGAAGGAGCAGAAAAGCAAGGTGAATGAGCTGTGCTATGATAGAGTAATGCTGAGGGTAGGGGGGGCACTAACCCAAGCCAGGAGGGCCAGAAAACACTTGGATCAACTCAAGCTACAACTGACACTTCTATTAAAGAACTTAAGAATGAGCCAGGCTTGAGTTCAAGCCCAGCCTGGACAACTTGGTGAGACCCTGTCTCAAAATAAAGCTAAAAAGGAAGGGTTGTAACTCAGTTCAATTCCCAGTACTGTAACGGGAGGGGGGAGAGTGCACATAAGAATGTTCTTTCTTCCAGCAATCCTACACCTATTAAAGAGTGAGTTATACATTCCTTCCTCAAGGCCATGCCACCCCATTTCACATCTGGACCACTGCACCAAGCCCTCACTCAGCCCCCTTGTGCCTCTCTTTTCTTGAGATACGATCTCACCACGTAGTTCAGGCTAGCCTTGAATTCACTGTGTAGTCCACACTGGACTCAAACTGTGGCAATCATCCTGCCTCAGCTTCTTGAGTGCTGGGGTTACAGGAATGTACTACCATGCCAGGCCCCCTCATGCCTCATGCCATTGCTCACCTACAACCTACTTCTTTCAAAAAGATAAATCAGACCATTTCCTGCCCTCACTGAATACTCTCTGGTGGCTTTCGTATACTTTACAGCTGGAAAGCCTCATACTGTGTTTCAGATCTGATGAGGGCTGCCTTTGCCTGCATCATCTCATACTCTTGTCCCCTCATGCTGGTTTTCCAGCTCCCTGAACACCCTGTGGGGACACTGTTTGCCCCTGCCTGTGTTACCCTTCCCTGCATCTTTCAAGTACTATTTAACCGGCATTTGCCTGAGGTCTCCTCAGAGACCTCCTGACCAGTTGACAGAGCAGAGGTTTTGCTGTTACTCTCAGAAGCCCATCTGCTTCCTCTAGGGTGTTTATAACTCTTTAAAATTATAATTTGTCTGGTACTTTGCTTGTCTCCATAGTTGATGAAAATGTACACTCTGCAAGGATGAGAACTACACTGTTGTTCACTACAGTTGTCTCCAAGGACTGGTAAACCGTAGGCACCCAATTATTGGAGAAGTAAATGAATAAACAGGTGACCCTTTACCTAGTATTTCTTGTGAAACTATGTCTGTAGACACTGCGTTAAATTGAGACATGACTGGGAAGTTCATCTGTAGGCTAAACATTTCGAAAAAGTAAAATATTACGTAAATAAATGGTAGCTGCCTTCTCATACAAGCTTGTAACAACCTGTTAGAATGCACAACCCCATGTCATCACGGCACTTACGGCTCAACTAAGCACTGAGAAAACAAAGTCATTTTTTGTGTTTAGGCAGGACCCAGTTAGCTGGACTGCTGTCCAATTCGTCACCGTCTCCTCCTTTTACAGATCCTCTCTAAAGATGACTAGCTGACTCCCACATTATTCAGAGACCACTCACTGTTATCACACATTTCTGCCAGCACCAGGTCTGTCTGAACTATCCTACGATGGCTTATGTATTTTTAGAGAACAAGGACCAATTACAGTGTCCTACATTATCCAAACTCTTAGCATAGTGCTATATTCTCATCAGCCCTACTGACTCCCCTTTATCTGGCGTGGCTATGCCTGGAGGTGCCACAGTAGCCAGCACTACATTCATTTGCTGCAATGCCAACACCTCAAAGTCTTCTTATGGGCTAATGCATTTTTACTGGTTCTATATTCTGTCTCTATAACCAGACATACGTACATTTTCAAAGGATAAATTGTTTAAAAAGGGCAGAGCATCAAGAATGGAAAATTTCTGTAGGCTCAGAAGTTCAAAATGCAGAAAAAGCTGAGGTTCCTGAGAAAACCCAACTAGAATGAAAGTGCTCACTTGGAACAGGAAGAACAAAATACAACTTGATAGACCGCCCTAGATGATCTATTACCAAGACACAGGCAAAGGCAGACTCATTCAACACTAACCTTATTTTCACCCTTTCCATTAGTAAGAAAACTTACCTTTCCCGAAAGGGGAGCCCAAGTGAGTGTAAGAGGGAACCAAAGCCCGAGAGTCAGTGAGACAAGGGAGAATGTCCAGATGCTTCCTACTGGTGCAACACTCCAGAATTACACTGCAAAGCAGTCTTTTTCACATCACAGCACACATGGAAAATGCTAATATTTGCAGCATACTAGGGAGTAACAGGAGTTGGCCAGCTTGAAGGCTCTGGCTGTCCCAAGGACTACTTTTTGGCCCCTGTGTAACAGACCCCAATGCCCCAGTATTTGTAGCAGAAGAGCTGGAAAGCTGACCTAGAATCCTAAAATAAAGGCAGACAGAATAGATTGCTCTAATGATCTTCAAGGAAGTGATGTTAGTGAGTTAGACATGAAGTATAACCCGCATTCTAGAGGATTTCATAAATGTTTCTAAGAACAAGGATGTGGCAAAACACACTGGGCACTAACACACACTCATACATTTACAGGCAAGCCAAACTACCTTTGTAGTGGGTGGCAGTCTAGCCTCCAAAAGATATGACCATATCCTAATCTCTAAAACTTGTGAATGTACCATTTTAAAAAAACATCTCTAGTGTGCATGTACATTAAGGCTCTCTAGCTGAGCTCACCTTGGATTTTGAGTGAGCCCTAAATCCAATGACAAGTGTCCTTATCAGAAAGAGGAAGACAGAAATAGAAGACTCAGACTTACAGGGATAAACCCCACACAATGATAAGGCAGAGACAGTAGTTATGTAGCCACAAGCCAAGGGATGCCTGGAATTACCTCCTGTCAAGAGGCAAGGTAGGATTCTCTTGTAGAGCCCTCAGGAGGAATCAATTTTACCAACACCTGAACTTTGACTTCTGGTCTCTAGGACTATCAGACAATAAATCTCCATTGTGTTAAGTTAGCATGTTTGCAATAATCTGTCACAGAAGCCTTACAACACACAGTGGTAGCTTGATTCAAACTTAATTTGTTTTATGAGTTTAAAGAAGATGGCAGCAGTTGAGTATATCAGCCGATTCAGAGTTTGTGAAAGTAAACAGAACTTTGTTCAATAAGTTTGAGGACCGAATTGTGTGCAAACAGAGGCATTCAAGAACCAAGGTAGTACTAAAATAGAATTCTCATTTTTTTTTTTAAATAGAAGTTTATAAAACTTAGGGAAAAACTAAAGAAATGAGACATGTAGATTTTAGCAATGAATGTGACAAAACCACCAGGATGCCCTCGTAGGGGACAAACAGTTTGAAGGAGCCATGCTTTCTTTGTGAACTGAGTTTTTGGTCAGATTTATACATTCAATCTGAAGTAGACTTCTGATCAGGAAAATCAAACTGCTTCTCCACCTGAACTTACATTCCTTCAGAGCAAAGATTACTGTACATTTTATTCACTACTATATCCCAGTACCTAGAAAAATGGCCAGTATATATTAAGAATGTCTCTCTCCACAGACAAACATGCATGCGTAAGGTTCGGGGGTAGGAAAGTGTTAGCAGAGAAGGCCTGGGTTTTTCAAACCCTTAAACTCCCCAAACAGTCCTGTTTTTACAATTTGCTGATCACTGGTTCCTGAAGTAAACTGTTCTGCTGACCAGTATTTCTGTACCCACAAGGTCTTGAGTCACTGCTACATCAAATCTACCTGGTAGTTACACCAATGAGATTTACAATGAACATCAGCTTTTCTCTTTGGGTCTGAGCTTGGTAAGAAGTATCAGTTGATCTGCCTATGTGGGTGATAAGAACTATGTACTAAGGATTGTGTATTTCTTAAATCCTCAGGCAGCCCTGATGTAGCCTATAAGCGCAGTCAGCTAATACCACAACATCAACATACATATATAAATCAATCAATGCATTACCTTTATGCACTCATCTTGATCTGGCTTTGGTTTTCTTTTTTTATTTCTGCTGTGAAATTCTACCACTTCCACTTGCTCCTTGTGGTTTTGCAGGGGAGAAGGTGATCCTGCAGCAGTAGGAACTTTTGCTCCTGAAGGTGGATTGTGTGAGGTGATCACAGAGGCATGGTTCAACTCTTCTCTGAGTTCCCTGAAAAAGCTGGAAACACTTTTCTTCTGTTTTTTTGTGAAAGAACCATGTGGAGTTTTGTCCTCTGCCACAGCTACTGCAACCCCTTCTGTCTTCCTATTTTCTCTCTTCTTTCTGATTTTCTTCTGTCCTGTTTCACCTTCTTTCTCTCCTGTTTGTTCAAACACAAAAAGGAAAAAACAGATATTTTCAGTTTTAATACTACCATCAAATCATATGAATGCACTGTGTATATGCCACAGCTATAAGCACCCAGAAGTACACACAAAGAAATAAATTACGTATTTGGCTTTTTTCAAGTAAGGTGTATTTCCACAACTTATCCAAAATATAAGCATTTTCTCCTAGTTAACGTTTATATCTTTGACCTTTTATTAGCACAACTACTCCAATTCACACCTTAGGTCTTTCCTCAAAGTTTCACCACAGCAGCAGTCCCAGGATGGGGACATTTGCCTCATTCTTTGTACTAAAAACAACTGCCACAGAAGCCAGTGTCCCTTTTCAACACTTCCTAAGGTTCCAGGTATGTATAATGGTCTTCCAATTTTTCTTCAGTTATGAGTTAAAGAGCTTCTAAGACAACTGGCCTCGTATGAATACTTGTATTTTTCTACTAAAAATTACAATCACCCTTGTGTTTCATTTACCCAAAATCTGATCAATCACTCGAAAGCGCTAACCAAAACTCTTTGTCATTATTCACCTACAGCACAAATATAAGAGTTCCCTAAACAGTGGTCTTTTACCAATGAACACCTATTAAGAGCAAATAAAAACTTTGGCACTAGAAAGATTAAAATGAGTAGATCTAGTCCAGGCCTTTAGAGCTCTTAGGATAATAACTGCCAGCCTGTGTGGACATAAACTGTATAAGATTTTGGAGATGGGGCTGGGGATTTAGCTCAGCGGCATAAGCGCCTGCCTTGCAAGCAGGCAGTCGTGAGTTCGATTCCCGGTACCGATAAAAAGGAAAAAGGCAAAAAAAGAAAGATTTTGGAGAATAGTCTTTTTCTCTAGATTTTAAGTTCCTCAAGGTCAGTGCCCTGATGAGGTCTTTTCTATTCTCCAGTATTTCAAGAGCTCTGAGATGTTCCGTCAATACAGAAAGTCAAAACAAGTCAATACAGCACAGGACATAGGGCTCGACTGTGAGGGCTGGAACCCAATTTTTCCAAGTTACCATCGAGGTAATCTGTAGCAACCTTTCAAATAAAAACGCTAGTGTTTATTTCTATATTTGCAGTGACAGGTTAGTGACAGTGCTATACGAACAATCAGAAGGCTGTTCTGAGACTCACGGAGTGGATACATGAAAAGCATGTAGTGTATTATAAGATCTTCCTCCTTTAAACTGTTATTTTTACTGTGTAGGTAAAGCTTAAAACTTTGAGCAATCACTCCAAGATAAAAACAAAGTAGTATGCGCAGCATTTCTGTAAATCTAAGACGCGAGCTCGGTCCTACAAATGAGAACGTCCATGTAAACTCTTCGGAGTGTGAAAGATAGTCCTGCTGAAGGGCCAGGTAGTTTCCAATCTTTGATAATAAGCTTTTTAGCTTTCTTTTCTCCTCATTAAGATAAGCAAAGGAGACTAAAAGGTCGGCCAACTTAGCTGAAGGTGCGGGGGTGGGGCGAATGGCGAGGCCATCGTATTGGTCGAGGTAGCCAGGTGATCACGGGTACCGGGCCGACCGGACCCAGCCGCGGGAGGGTGTGGGTAGGATATATGAGCCCAAGGTCCTCGGCGCGTTTCCAGCACCTCCGCAGGTGGCCATGGATACAGTCCAGGACAAGGGATATCACTCACCCACGTCGTAGAGAGTCTGCAGTAGGGTGTCCAAGAGCTTCTCGGTGCTCTCATGCACCGAACAACCTGGCTCCGAACCCCTCTCGGGCGCCATAGGACTAGCAGTGTGGCCCGTCAAGCCACTTCTGTTTCCGGTTCCGGGTGCGCACTGGCGCTTCAGGCCCCGCGCGGCTTCCGTCCTGGTTAAGATGGCGGCGCCTGGGGTCCCGAGCGGCGGCTGTAAAGGGTGCCGCCGCCCTGGGCGAGGTCAGGCCGCCCCGCGCGGAAGAACCGCCCCCAGCGGCTGCACCACCGCCGCGTAGCAGACGATCTCAGGCCCCGCCCGGGACAGTAACCGCATCATGGACTCTCAGCGCCCCGCTAACTCCCATTTCTCCGGCAGTTCCACTGGTCCCGGCTCTGTCGTGCTCCACTACGCGGTAGGCTCCTAGGAGATCGAGCCCCGGAGGGGAGCATTGGGAAAGGACTCCCTTTTTCGTCCCTAGCTTCCCGGGGCTTACTGCCCCTGGCCCAGAAGAGTGGTCCTTCTCCTTGGAGGTGTTAGGTGCGTGGCTTGGTTTCCACGGCAACGCTGTGCGGCAAGGATTCTCTGGAAACGCGCGTTGGTTTTTACACGTTTCCTGCGGTAAAGTTCTTCGGCTCTTTTCCACCTGTTTGTTCCATTTTTCCCCTTTAGACCCTTAGGCCCCTGGACACAGGCTTATAGGATGACAGTTGGACGCCCTGGCGTTTGGCGAGGGCGTGTTAGCCTTGCGGGGAAACTGTGGGTCACACCCCGCCAGGATGGCCCGCGGCTTCACATCCTTCTTTCGCTGCAGTTCCTGGGAGAAAAGTTCAGTTTTTATGAGTGGGAGTAGAGATTTTTGAAAGCTTATATTGCCTGCCTCTGTCTTCAGTTCATCATTGCACATTTTACGCAAGTCATTTTGGAGAACAAACAACCAATGCTATTCAACCTCCTTCCAGCTTGCTTTCTCTCCCCGAAGCCCTTCTTCCTCTTTTGGTTTTAATGGCCCTTTCCCTCACCCAAGAGAACATTGGTCAAAGTTTTCATGAAGAAATTGCAATGTGGAAGGTTTGTATCCCTTGGGATTGTACAGTCCTGGGGCAATGAATCAGGTTTTTATTGTTTTTAACTAGATTAATTTTTATCTACTTTATAAGGAAATCTTAAAATGTAGTTTAAAGGTATGTTTCCATGATCTGGCTGTTAGTATCTTCAAAGCTTTTCTCCTTATTGATCCCATCACACACAATTCTTTGATGGAAAGATTACACCTTTATTTTCTAACTCTGCTACTCCAGAGAAGGCATGGGAGGAAGGAGGCTGTACAGATACCACTCACATTAAATTGCTTTTTGGTTCCTAAACTGGTTTATGAATTGACTGGAATTTTCTTGTATATTTTAAAAAGCAGTTAAATTTTGCTTTCTCGGGGCTGGGGATTTAGCTCAACGGCATAAGCACCTGCCTTGCAAGCAGGTAGTCGTGAGTTCGATCCCTGGTACCGATGAAAAGGAAAAAGACAAAAAAAAAAAAAAAAAAAAATTTTTTTATGCTTTCTCCTTTAGTGGTTCTGGAATAAGACTTTGTCTACTTTTTCATGTGGAAGCCTAATGCAATGGTATGGGAGCCCTCTCTTTTCCAGTAGTTCTTGCTGCTCTTTCTGACTGTGTAGCCTTACCTTATGATAACCTGAACTTTTTCTTGCCACTTAAAGCTGCACTTACATCCTCAGCCATACTGTTATTGTGCAATACTTTCTGTCTAATCTGAAAGTAGTACTTTAGAAATACTTAGGATACCACTGATTGTGACAAATACTAGGGAGTGCCTAGGTCTCATAGGTATTATTCTCAATGGCTAAGATACTTACAGGAGTTACCGATCCAACTCTTACTTTTAAGGACACAGAAGTCATAAAAGTAGACAAATAATTAAAGTTAGTGGGCATTAGGAGTCTGAGGCAAGAGTTCCTGATCAGCCTGTGCTACATAGTAAGTTCAAGGTCAGCCTGAACCATATAGTGAGACTGTCTCAAAAAAGAAATAAATAGAGGAAGGAAGAAAGAAAGAACTTAGTGGGACAAGGGCAATGGCTGAAGCTGCACAACATGTTGTGGGAATAAAGAAAAGTGGTACCTGGTTTGTTTGGGGTCAAAGAAGAAGTTCTAAGAAAAGGTGCTACCTAACCTGAACTTTTGAAGTGTGAATGGCAGATGAAAGAGGGAGAGACTGTTTTAGACTTTAAATTAAGACCATACTTGTGCAAGAAGCGCTTAACTAAGAGGACATGAGAGGAAAAACTAAGAAAGTAGGCGAAAGATATATCCTAAAATTTTATGTAACACCTTTGCATACCGTTAAGGATACAATTTTAGCTTTATAGCAAACCATTCGTACTTAGAAAGGCTAAGACTACTTGATGTCTCTCATGATTATGTGTCTATGTAACCTTTGTTACTTAAGTAGAGATTTTTGAAAGACAAGTCAGAGTGGAGAGGAAATCTGATAGATAAACATGAAGATCAAGTAGGACACTGTTGCAGAAGTCCAGAAAATGACATAAGGCTAAAATAAGGCTGTGAGAGGTGAGAGTGGGAAAAAGGGAGGTCAGTGATTATTTCTGTGATACCTAGGACAGTAAATTATCAGCCCTTGGAAATAGTTTGATATAGTGGCTCAGGAAAGTTTTCTGAAGTTGACTACTGAGTTTCTGTAATTTGCCACCTGGACAGATGATGCCTGTTGATAGGAAAGAGAAGAGCAGGTTTAGTCAGGTAATATACACTATCTGTTGGAGATGTGTTCAGATTGAGATGTGAAATTTTTGATTGTAGGTTATCATGTAATTCATTAGTTACATCATAAATGTTTGGGAGTCATCCAGGTAGGCGCCAGAACAAAAGAAGAAGGCATGGCCTGAGTACATTTGGCAAACATCAGCAAGTAAGTTTCATCTGAAGCCATAGATGTGCTTGAAATTTTCCAGTGAGACATGGAATGGCCCAGTAACCCAGAAGCTGGACCCCTGTTACAGTCCAAATGATAGGTCTAATACCTTACAGTTTCTTATAAGACTGCACAGGATCTGTGAGTTGTTGCCACTCTGACTGCTCATCTTGCTGCTCGTCTATCAGCCTGACCTTCTACTTCTCAGAGCAAACCCCAGAGTATTCATTGTTTCCTGGGTGGCATGGTATGTTTTCCCAGAATACCACACTGCTGCCTGTTTCTGTTAATGATATCCCAACTCACATGTCGTCTTGTCAACAGCTATTCGATCTAAAATAGTTTCAGTCACATCCCCCAGAGGTGCCCCATTTTGTTTATGTTAGCTTTCCAGTGGTGTGCTGCATCAGTCTTGTACTGACTTGCTGGAGCTGATTATTAATAAATATTCATGAAGGTTGCAAGCACATTGTTAAAGTGCAATCATTATTGAAAACCAAAGTTTAAGCTGGTGGCTGCCTGTAATCCCAGGACTTTGGGAAGCTGGGGCAAGATCACAAATTCAAGCCCAGGCTTGGTTACTTAGTGACTTAGTAGGACTCTGTCTCAAAATTAAAAAATAAAAAGGGCTAGGCAGGTGGCTCGCTCAAAAACCTTGGGTTAATCGACTAGTATTGCCCTCCCTCATCAAAGATTAGGATACGTAAATTTTAAATTGTATTAAAAACAGGTAATAAGTACCCAAAATTTACAATTTCCTAATTATTTTGCTAAATTTTACCATTATCTCTGCCCTGGGAGGTTAAGTATCTTGTTAAAGGATGGAACTCCTATGTAACCTTGTGCAGTGGTGCAACTTTCCCAACTCTGTGGGGTGAGGTCCTGCTGTACTTGATGTTGCCATGTGGAAGTACATATTCCACAGAAAGTGGCATATTGCTGTAAGGCAGGTGTTATACTTGATACATTGTGTCAACTTGAAAAGTATAGAAGTTTAGCTAAGAGACTCCCCGGGGAATCAGGGTTCTTACTTTGTAAATATCCTTAGCCTGTGTAAAAGCTGGGTACAGAGATAGTGTGAGTGCTACATCTACCCTGAGGAGGAGGCAGCTTGCTTACAATATAAGGGAGAAGAGCTCTGGCTGCTGCCTTGAAGAGTTATTCCAGTGCCATGCCACCCTGCCTTGGAGCCAAGTGATTATGAACTGAAACCTGCACAAACTGAGCTAACTAAACCTTTTCATCCTTCATTTTGGGTGTTGGGTATTTTGTCCTAGCAATGAGAGAAAAATAACCAAGACAGTAGGGCTGTGTTGTGGCAGCTCTGAAGGTTGAAGACCAGTCAGCACACTACTCATATTTATAGTGACTCTGTGGATAGGAAAATTTCATTTAAGAGACAGGCTCAAGGAGGACCTTGTCTGGCTATCAGTGGGGAGAGGCCTGCTGTACAAATTGAGATGGATAGAGATATTTCAGCTAGCTATGTCTTTCTGTTTGTGCTGTCCCTTGTGTTGTGTTCCTGGATGAGTTGCCACGCAAGTGTACGTACTTCGTGACAGCAAGTATTTTTCCAGCATGTATGAGGGGGCCAGTTAATGAGCAGTTAACTCAGCCTGGCCTGATCCACTTAAAGAATTTTTTTAAAAAATTCTGATGCCCAGGCACTGCTCATAGACCTGATTTAATCTGTAGAGGTGGGATCTAGGCATCAGTATTTTTGAAAAGTACCCACAGTTATTTTAATGTGCAACATAGATTGAATATTGGGTTAGAGCCACAATGGGGAAGTTTTGTGTTTTATCTTGTGAATGTTGGAGAGCTGTCATCAATGGGATTCAAAAGAAGCTTCATGCAGTAATTGATTTTTTTTATTCTACAGTGACTGACTTCCTACTTGGAACAACAGGTTAAAAAATGTGTAGGACATATTACCCAGTCATTCATAGGAGACACCAAATACAAGTTTAATGAAGTGTTTTAGATTATTGTCTTGAAAATCCCGTTACTGAGGGTTCAGTAAAGACTCAGAGGAGAGGATGCCAGTTCAGTGTAGGTAAAGGGGAAAGCCAGGGAATGGTGCACAGAAGAGGTAATACCACTGATGAGTGATGGCTGAGGATTTTCCAGGTGAACTGTTGAGAGAGACATTTATAAATGCTGTCTCTCAATAGCTGGTACCACCATGCACTGGTAATTCATAAAAGAGACTGTCTGTCTTGATG